CCTCTTTTGGCCTCCACAGGCATCAAGTACACATGTAGTACAAACAGATACATGTACACAAAACACTCATATACATTTTAAAAATGTTTTTAAGCAGGTTGTTAATACATGTTGTAATTTAAGAAAAGCAGCACGGGAGAGAATGATGTCACGAAACAGCTTTCAAGCAGAGGGGATTTTTATTATGAAAAGGGATCATAAAAAGGGAAAAGGGGAGGAAGAAGGGGGAGAGACCAGCCTCCAGGGACAGGAACAGCAGGAGAGGAAAAAGGAGCAGGAAGAGGGGAGAGGGAGGGTGGGAGGTGGGCAGGGCCCTTTTAAAAGGGAGCATAGCGAACAGGCACAGGTGGTGCTCTTAGTGGCAGCAGCTGAGGGTGTACCCTGTCAGGACACCACAGGCAGGCCAGTGCATGCCTGAATACCAACGGTACATCAATTTAATCTCAACACTTGGGAGACAGAAGCAGGCAGTTCTCTGACTTCAAGGTCAGCCTGATCTACATAGTGAGACACTATCTCCAAAAAAAAAAAAAAAAGAGGAGAAAATTAAAAGTCAAAAAATACTTCTATTCCCCCTTTCCTCAAAGCCACATGGAACCATTGATAGCCCACAAAGAACCCAACTGATTCCAATATAAACTATTTTTTCCCAGTATATATTCTAAATATATCCACATTATCTCTTTTTCTACCTCATGTACCCAAACTCAAAACACCTCTAAGAGCCTCTTAAATGTGCCTTCTTTCTGGTCTCTCTTCTTATCTACTACCTAAATAGTGTGATCTTCAAAACCAAATTCAGGGTATTGTCATCCCTCTGCTTGACAACCTCCCAAGAGCTTATCACTCAATTTAGAATACAACCTAAATGCCTAAGCTGCTTTACACAGGCTGGCTACTGCCTAATTCTCACAGGCCCTGTGCATACCTGTTGTATGATATCCACAGTTGAGACCTTTCCTTTAGCTATGCCCATTTTCTACATTACATTCCCACTCTCTGGAATGCACACCCATCAGATCATCAAGTGAACTGCTTTTCCTCTCTATTCACACATTGCTCAAATATCACTTCTTCAGCCAAACTAGCTTGTATCAACCCACCCAATGTAATCTCAGTCTTGAAAACACAGTGTATATGACTAACAAAAGGAAACAAATGGCCAACTGGTGGAATCCATACCTTTAATCCCCAAAAAACAGGAGGCAGAGGCAGGCAGATCTCTGTGAGTTCAAGGCCAACCTGGTCTACAGAGTGAGTTCCAGAACAGCCAGAGCTACACAGAGAAACCCTGTTTTGAAACCGCCCCCCCCAAAAAAAAAAACAAAACAAAACATAACATGATCTCACAAGATCTGTGGGGCACGTACTTCTACTATCTCTGCCTTAGTGTTAAGACAATGGCAACTCAGAAATTAGGAGCTCACACAAGGTCACAACCTAAGTGAGTGACAAAGCAACTTCAAGATTTTCAGAATTCAGTGGGAGAGTTCTTAAGTGGCTAATAACTCCAATAGCAATCCAACACTCTCTCCCACCAGCACAGTACCTCTTAAATGGATCTGTTCTTTGACCTCTGCCACCATATTTGTACTATACAGCCATACCAGTAACCACCTTAACTTCTACCCCACCCCAATCCATGTTCCAGATCACACTCTACATGTTGCCCAGACATGAAATTCTACACTTGTTATCAAGGTCCACAATGCTCTTTACAATTAGCCACTCAGTCAAACAACTAACTCCTTGCCAGTTATTCATTTAGCCAACCAACAACCAGGGCAGTCACTATATAAACACTTGCAATAATCTTGTGAACAAGAGGAAAGAAAAGTCCTGGGCAGTCACAGTGATATTATGATATAATCCCTGTGCTTGGAAGGTTGAGGCAGAAGAATCACAAATTAAATATTAGCATATAGCCAGGAATAGTGCATGTGCCTTTAATTGCAGCACTCAGGAGACAGACAGGTGGATCTCTAATTTCGAGGCTAACCTAATCTACAGAGCAAGTTCCAGGACAGCCAGGGCTGTCTCCTGGCTTAAACCCCGACTTAAAACTAACAAAAATATGATACTGGGCGATATATCTAGACAGTCTTGAAACCAAACCAAAGAACCTGCTCCTCAGGTACTGCAAATCTTTTGTCCCCCTCCCTTTGTTTTTCCTTATCTTTTAGAAAAGTAGAAAGGACACCGGGAATGAGGTTAAAAAAAAAAAAAAAAAAAAATGTAATTACAGAGAATGAATTTATAACTCTGGCTGTCCTGGAGTTCACTCTGTAGACCAGGCTGGCCTAGAACTAAGAGATCTGCCTGCCTCTGCCTCCAGAGTGCTGGGATTAGTGTGCGCCATCATCCTCAGCTGACCTTTCCCTTTTTTAATCTGTATATAAACTCAGACTGGTAAGTCCTCCCATTCCCTCTACACAAACTCTGAATCCAGTTCAGATTTCATACCCTCTGTCAATCTTTCCCAGCATCCTATTTCATTCATCTTTTCGTAAAATCTTTTCTATAGTGTCACCTATTCATTTCAAGCCTAGGCTCTTGATGCTGGGTAACTCTTAAAGACATGAACCCTTAAATATAATAACCTTGATTCACATATGTTCCATCAGCATCTAGAACAGTGCTTTACAAATGCTAGATGACCCTAAGTGTCTATGGACGCAATAGAGAAGCAGGGTGTTTGGACATGGGTCTAGATACTTACCCTGGGGATTCATGGCGATGGAAAATGATGGAAGGAATCTAATTAGAATGCTGGGCTCTCCTGATGGCTAGCAGCTCACCTGTTTGATGATGTATGTTAGCTCCTCAATTTCTACTGCTTTATCATCAAAGAGGGACTTGCGCTTTGCCACTGCAGAGACAGATGAGGTATTACAACAGGTGAGGGTAAGAATACACAAGGCTAAGACTACACTTCAGTGGTAGAGGCACTCGCTTTAATGCACAAAGCCCTAGTTTAAAATCCCCAACACCAAAGGAAAAAAAATAAAAACTCCACGAGCCTCACTTCCTAGTACTATGTTTCATTGTCCCATCTAGGAAAGATCTACCAAACACTCACAGATTGTTAGCTTCTCCAACTTGGCAAATGTATTGCTGAGATCTTTCCCAATGCGCCTGCAAATGACCATCAGTGAGAAGGCTGTGGTAAAGGGCAGGAAAGAGGCTATTCCCATAAGCTCCAACACAATCAATCCCACTCAGCCTAAGCAACATAGGCAAATTAACTTTCTAGACATTATATCACCCCTACCACAAAGCCTCTCTTAACTCACTTGGCCATAAGGGTAAATTCACTGCGTTGTCTGGCAGCACGTAGAGCTGGTTTATTTGTTTGGATTCCATTCTGAAAGGTAATGTCAAAAAGTGTCTACTTTAGTTCTCGTCAGTATTCACCCTCAGGGTTTGTACTGCTCCCACACATATCCACTAAACACTCCAGTGCTGTGGGCATCATACAATTTAAATTTATCAGTGGTTTATAGCTAAGAAAAAAATTAGATGTATGTTTAAATCTTGACTCAGCATTTGTGGTATTTAGAACAAGTCACTTAAACCATTCTTAATCTCTACTGAAGACAATTCCTCCACTCCTATTGGTAAGATTCGTTAATCTTAGAGTTGTAAAGTAAATTTAAACAAATAGCAGACAAAACGTAAGCATTAATTAGGCTCACACCTGCCTTTCCACTCCAGATCCTTACCTGACGGCTCTGCAGCGACTTACAGGCAGACAGGAACTCCTGGGTCCGATCCCGGCAGGACATGGTGTCGGGAGGGGAAGGGACCAGGGCCACCGGGGTGGGTAAAGGAGTGATGTCGCTGCTGCTACTGACAGCAGTTGCAGGGGACAAGACCTGTGTCTTTGAGAGACCCAGGTAGACACCCTGATCTGTGTTCTTAGATCCGTAGCGTTTCCGCGGGATCATCGAGTCGCATAACCTCGGACTGCTGTGGAGAGGAGAATGTCATTCTCCAGACAGCCTCTTTTCCCAAAACTTTCCCCTCAACTAGTAAATCCTCAGGCCCTTTCCCGTATTTGACAGACTTTCGAGCCCAAGGCCACCCGTAGATCTTGCAGCCCGGCCACGGCGAGAAGGGTCAACTTCTTCCAGGCCCAAGGCGAAGCCTCCTCAGATTCTCCTTCCAACTTGGCTCTGACGGCCAGAGCACCGGCTGGGGGCCCTAAAGTCGAGAAAACAGCCAAAGCCTGGTCCTGCGGCCTTGAGCCTCCAGCCAGACCTTTGCAGTTGGCCAGGATCTTAATCGTGCCCTCTGGTATACGTGATTTCCTTAACCCCCTCACGGAAAAACGGAAACCGACCTCCAAAGGTGGACACACTTCGATGGGCGGAGGGGGGAAAAAAAAACCTCTTTAAGTGTTTATTTGAAACAGGAAGTCCCACCTCCATCAAAGTTCCGCCTGTTGGAAGACTGCAGCCACTGATTGGACAGGGCCGACGTCTTTCTCAACAAGGCCTTTCCTGATTAGACAGTGAGGTATTCGCTTACGCGGAGCCGCCAGCAGGACTTGCCCATGGCTCCCTTCTCTCCCCCTCCCCCACCGTCAAGCCGCTGCCCCCGAGCTGAGACGACGGACAGAAACTGGACCTCTACTCGAACGAAGCCCTACCTCCTCTGTTGCCTACCGCCGCCGCTACTGCCACTCTCCCCAGGCCGTCGCCGCCTCCTCGTCGGACTTGTAAGCAGCCGAAACCGGAGCAAAGAGCAGGAGCCGCCACGTCACCCACACGCAACCCCACCCCCGTGACGTGTGGTCGCGCCACGCCTATTTTTTTAAGCCCTGAGACAGGAAGAACACACCCCTGCCCTAGCATGCTCAACTCCGCCCTCCTATTGGTTAAACTGCCACCGTGGCCCCGCCCCCGTGCAGCAGAAGCAGATCCCAGGGGGCTGGGCCAGAGGAGTCTTAAAGAGCCATCACCTCTGTGCCTACAAAGCTGGAAGAAGAGGCATGAGTGTTTCCGCAGATCCACAATATTAATTTTATTCTCTGGATGTTGGGGAGGACAAGGACAGGGTTGGAGTCAGCCCTTTTCTGGTTCCTTGTGGCTTCCCTCACGTTTGCGCTCCTGGATCTGATTATCCTGCTTTTGAGTCTGGTCTGAGAGCCTCTTGCTGGACCGTGAGGACTCCCGACGGCTGAACATGGATAGCCTGCGCCACAGTACCGTGATCAGAAGACTTTCGTTAGATCTTTGTTTGCGGCGGCCTGTGTTGTCCAAATCAACTTCGTTGCCTGTAAGGGCCACGAGGCCATAGTGCCATAGTTCAATTCTGCTCTCTCTAGTCCAACCTCTTTTGGCAGTCCCTTCTGGGCACCTCCCGCTCCCATTCCCAATCCAGCTCCCTGACCCGTTTTGAGTCCTACCTTGCCTGCCTTCCTCAGTCACATCCTCCCTTGCATGCTCATCAGAGGTCTGATGGTCCTTGTCTTGACAGCAGCCCATGGCCTCGAGAGGCGCAGGACTCTGCCACACTCCTCAGCCTGCTTAACTCTGGGCCCAGCTTTTGTGACGTCAGGTCTCCCACAGCCTGGGTAAGGGAACCCCTCCCACCCAGAAGCCACCTCTCCTTTCTCCCATCACAAAAGGATCAGGATCTGTGTGTGTGTGTGTGTGTTGGGCTATTTATTAACAAAATAGCAAGAGTTTTCAAGGACTGGTGGATCCAGGCCGCTTCTTTTTCTTTCTTCTTGTTTGGAGAGTCCCATGTGTCTGATCCAAATCAGGGAGCTTCCGCTTGGCAGCTGCCTCCAAAGATGCCCAAAGTTCATCTGTCTCTGTGTCTTCTGGGGGCACCATGTTGGGCTCTTGAGGTTCTTGGGGCTCATCCTGATTAGTGAGAAGAAAACTCAGGAATCAGGGACAAGGACCAGCAGAAAAATAATTTCTCTGGACACCATTACTTTGATCTAGAAACCAGTGCCGAGTGTTCTGTAGTATCTTACCCTTGGCAATAAGCCTATAAAAGCTTGAGCATCCCTCAGGGAAATTACATACAGTAAAGAGACAGCGCTGGTCTTATATGTTCTAGTGCCTCCCATTCTCTCCACAGAGAATCTCTCCCCATCATGCCTTTGGCTCCCCCCTTTTTTTTTTTTTTTTCAAGACAGGGTTTCTCTGTGTAGCTTTGGAGCCTGTCTTGGAACTAGCTCTTGTAGACCAGGCTGGTCTCAAACTCACAGAGATCCTCCTGCCTCTGCCTCCCAAGTGTGGCTCCCAAATCCTTACACCTCACTAGTTGCTCACCTCCCAGTTATCCCTGCCTGACAGGAGGAGGCAGTTCAGTTGAGATTTGAGATAAACCTGTAAAATAAAAGGGGTCTTGAGCCCAGACAAGCCAAGATAGTAACTTGAATGTGAGGCACAGGGAGGGGGAGAGGCTCCAAAAAAAAAAAAAAAAAAAGATGTTAAGAGTGGGTAAATGCCAGAGGGTTGGGCTCTCACCTTATGCTCTAGCCCACGTGGATGTCGGATCCTGTGTATCCTCAAGACTCTGTCCAAGCCACAAGAGGCTAATAGAGGCTTGGAAGGGTGGCACTGCAGCCCACGGACACTGCCTGCCAGCCCCTTCAGACAGCCCAGTAGACGCCCTGGAGAAGGGTGGAGGCATCAGTGGTAGCTACCTAACCCGTGAATATTTAGTTGCTGCTCAACCATTTGTTTCAGTACTTAATACTCCTAGAAACAGGAGTTTCCAGTGACATTCCTATTTTACAGGGGAGGAAACAAAGGCACAGGGACCAAATAACTAGACCAAAACTTAACTCAGGGAATGAATGCGGCACTGACAGGGATCAGTGACTCCCTGTACGACCTTTCTCTTCCCCCTTTCCCCTTCTCAAGCAACCCATCATCCACTCACCTTGCCGAAAATCAATTTCTGCTAGCTGCCCATGAGTGTTCCCTACGATGACTGAACTATGGAAGAGACCAGAGAGGGGGCTCAGTACAACTTCTGGAGTCATTCCAAAGCATTTCCCCTTCTCCTCAACACTCACTTGCCCTCAGGAGTAAGGGTCATGGCTGTCAGTGGGTACTCTCCATAGGTGGCCTCCAGGACTGGACGGCGCTGAGGAGAAACTGGATCATAGACACGGACCTAGAGGAAGACTGAGCTATCACAAGAGTATCCTTTTTTTTTTTTTTTTTTTTTTTTTGTTTGTTTGTTTGTTTGAGACAGGGTTTCTGTGTGAAGCTCTGGCTGTCCTGGAACTCACTCTGTAGACCATGCTGACCTGAACTTCACTGGGATCCACCTGCCTATGCCTCCCAAGTGCTGGGATCAAAGACATGGGCCATGAGAGTATCTTTACCCACCATGGTCCCCAATATCTTCCTATCTATCAGCATCCTTCTGAAGACTGCTTATTATTTATTTATTATTTCAAAACAGGGTTTCTCTGCAAAGTTCTGGCTGTCCTTGAACTAACTCACAGAGTTCTACCTGTGTCTGCCCCAAAACTGGGATTAAAGGGATGTGCTACCATGCTTGGCAAGGCTACTAACTATTTTAAGTCCCCCTCAGAGAAACTTTCTCATTTGTGGCATGTACCTCATCTCAGAATGCTGGTAGGACTGCTAAGGAGCATGATCACAGACTGAGGACAGATGCCTATGCTTGAGAGTATGTAAACATGTTGTCCGTCATATGCCCACCTAACGGCAGTGGAGGAATAGAAAAGCAGACTGGACCAAAGCTAGTGGGGGGAGTAGGGGAGATGAGTTTCAAGCAGAAAAGCTTGGTTTTACTGGGGGAAGAGTGGGAGGGAGGAGTGGGGGGAAGGGGGAGGAGAGGGGAGCTGTTCATATGTGTGAGCAAAGGCCTTGTACATAAATGAGACTTTAATGTGAAGGACTATAAAATGGAAAATAGTGACTAAACCCTAGCCAAGCCCTCACCCAAAACTGATAGAGCTGAGACCAGAAAGGGATCCTCAAAGCAAATTAGACTATATGAGGACTACAAAGTTCTTTCTATGACCATGCCATCCAGAATATGCCCAATCTTGTCAGATCTCATGAGCATGGTTAGTACTAGATGAGAGGACCATAAAATTGTTTTGACAGCCACCTTGATGTCCACCCATGATATCTGTTCCCTGTGGAACCTAGTGTAAAAGGAATGCTCCCTTTGCTTTCCTGCAAAGGTGGGAGAAATAGAAACTCAATAGTCCAGGAAATCCGATCTTAGAGTGCAGTAAAGGGAAAGTCATTGGCACAGCTATGGGTCTGACCAGCTGAGGAAGTATGAGTTCCTTTGAGAGCCCAGGGGAGAAGATATTGAGGCACCAGGAAAACCTACAGTTTTTTTCAGGAAGCTGTTTTAATCCAGGAGTAAGCAAAAGAACCTCACCTGGTGATACCCTGTGCATGTGACAAGCTTCTGTGACCCATTGAGGAACTGTATATCCTGGTCCCAAATAGGAACCCGTAGATCCAGCCAATCATTCCTCACCTGGTGTGGAGGTACATATGGGATACAAAGTGTTGGTAAACTTGACCTACTCCTTCAGTCCTCCATCTCCCAAAAGCCCATCTAGGCCATGATCAATCAGTGGCCTCCACTTCCCCCAACCTCAGACAAAGCATCCCCCTACCCCTCATCACTTACATTCTTCGCCCTGAATACAGGCTGCTCAGGCCTCTGTAGGTCCCATACTTTCAAAGCATTCTCTTTCCCACATGTGGCAACTACATGGCTATGTGCCGGGTCTTGGCGCATCCTACACACCCCAGGACCCACCTTCAGTTCCAAGAGCTGTAAATAATCAGAGATGAGTCAGTCCAAGAGTTCTTAGTCCTTAACCTTCCACCTACCAAATTCCCCATTACACCCCTATCCTGGCTCCTACCATCTCCAACTACTAGGGCAGGTGAACCTTACTGGGTCAGATGATGTTTCCTTGTCATTGTCACACCAGACTCTAAGGATCCCAGAATCCACACATGTGATAAGGGTGCTGCAGAGGAGGGAACAATGGGATTTTAAAAAGTGTAAACCAGGTTTAGTGGTCCACACCTACCAGTAAAGGGCATGGGAGTAAAGTGGGGACTAGGAATTCAGAGTCAGACTGAGGTACATAATGAATTCAAGGCCATCTTTGAAACAAACAAACAAACAAACAAAAAAAAAACCAAACCAAACAAAAATGACCTAAACCTCTTCCCAAGAAGCCAAGCCTTTTTGCATGCTCTGGATAGCCTGAACCTATGCTCTCCCTCACATCTGCCTATCTAGATTTAAGCTCTGTATTGCCTGGGCTGTGCCAAACAGCATCTCTAATACTCCTCACTCCTACAGGCTCAGAGCTTGCTTGGTCCATGGCAGTTCCCATTCAAAACCCAATATACTCTCCATTACCTATGAAATAAAATCTCAACTTAATACAAAATCCCCTTCCATTTAATCTCAATTAAATGCAAAGCCAAACTTACAAGTATGTTTCCTTGACTTAAATTTCCAAATGCTATTTGTCCTATGTATAAAACTTTTAACCCTCAGTCTCTGCTCAGTATTTGCTTTTTAGAATGGCCTTATCTCTTCTCTATCAAGATTATTCCTGTACTTCAAGACCCAGTTCAAAACTCTATCCTTTCTGCATATCCTTTCTGGAGCTCACCTGCTAAAATTCCAAAGCAGCCTTCTCTCTTCTTCCATCTAGAGAAGCTGCACCTAGGTTACTAACCTAGATGAATCTTCCTTCCTAGTCATCATTTTAGAAGCCACATTATCTTGTTGGTTTTTGTCGATCACTACTTAAAAGTATGCTCAAAAGTGTGAAATTAGTTGCAAAGAACATCATAAAGGAGCCAGGACAAAAACTCTTGGATGCAAACTTTATGAAGGTGTATATTTTACCCAAACCCTTGTACTCTTCCCTGATATCTGGCATTCAGTAACTTCCCGATAAATGCATGTTACAGGAATGAATGAAAGCAAGAAGTCTATTTACGATCTTCCTGTGACCTGTGCTAGAGTAGTCCTTACCCATCGGCCTGGGCGAGACCTCGGAATGTGCCCTCCCCGCCTGGGCAGTGTCTCTGGCTCTGGAATGTACCCTCCTCGGTGTTAAAGTGCCTCACGGTCATGTCCGCGCAGCCCACCAAGATCTGCCAGCGAAAAGGAAAGGATAGGAGGAGAGCAAGGTTGCAGGGCCCGTTAGTTCCGACCGGGCCAGTGGCCACTCACCTGGGTCTCGTCTCCTGCGCCCCAGCACAGAGCGTTCACCGCCTCCTCACGCCGCGGCTGTCCGGATGGCGTGAAGTTTGACGCATGTTTCCGCTGAAGGTTCACTCCTGAGGGTCGAGGACATCAGTCACGCTGGGGTGACAAAGCGACCCCCATACTTTGGGAAGAACAACTCAGACACTCACCTTTCAGGATCCCAGTCTCGGTGCCGACCCACACATGGTTCCCTCGCGCAGAAGTCGCCGCCATCGCAGACTAGCTCGCACTTCCGGCGCGCCACCAGCTGCATCATCAGGGGACGCCGGATTCAAATCTGACAACACGGTCGGTTTGTCTGTCCGCCTCTCCGCTCCCCCTACTCCCTCCCCCCGCCTCCATTCCTCCCACGCCTCGTTAAGGCCTTTCATCTCA